ATATGAATAGAGTATTATTTATCACCATGAAGTTTGTTACTGTGGCTTTACATTATTTAGTTATGTTACATGAAGTTATCATTCTTGCATAATGCTTGACTCTGTTATGTTGAACAATATATAAAATACATGCAGTTGTTTTCCATCTCATAACTAGAGTCATTATTCATTCTCCACGAATTCTTTTTCCACCCATTATCCTTCTCTTTTCAGAGCTCAAGGAATGATCAAGTGACAACCACCAGTTCATTGAGCATATGGATTTCAAGTTTCAGGCTGCTTCACTGTGTTGCTTTAATGAATTTTAAGCTAGAACCCCTTTTAAATATGTATTTGAATTGATTATTTGTAGGCATTAATGTGCTTTTATCCATGACTTTTTTAATTTCATAAACTTGATTCCTGAATAGAGCTGAATGTCATATTTCGTGTTTATAAATTGGCATTTAGCTAATCAGTAGTTATACATGAGTTCATATTAGTATTTATTCAAGGTTTTTGTTAATAATTTTAGAATTTACATGTGATTCTATTGTAACATGTCATTAGACTTTCGGTATACTGATACCGTGCTTGGATTTCGGTATACCGAATAGTCGGTACGGCATCGGTATTCATTTTTGAGTTACCGAAACTTCGGTATACCGAAGTTTCGGTATACCGAAATTACGGTACGGTAACGGTATGCAATTTTGATATACCGGTATTTCGGTACGGTATACGGTATGGCGTAAATTTTTCGGTATGCCATACCGAACCACCCCTTTACCCAGGGCCGGTCCTGGAATATTTAAGGCCCTGTGCAAAATTAAGTAAAAGGCCCCATATTAAAATTTTAATTTAAAATTTAATTAAAAATTGATATCCAATGAATAAAAGGAATTTGTTTTATTAATAAAAGTCAATTTTACAACTCAATTTGGGACTAATGGAGTAATTATATATAACACATGTAGTGAAAATAATAAACTAAAAATACAAAAAGTAAGTATAAAATGCAATGAAAAACTTATTTTGATTGCTAACAAAAAAGTATCATAATAAAATAAATCCAAATTAATAAGAATTGTAACTATAAGGAACATGGTAGTATAGTAAAGTAATAAGAATTGTAACTATAAGGAACAGGGTAGTATAGTAAAGTAATAATACAAATAATAATAATAATAATAATAATAATAATAATAATAATAATAATAATAATAAGTATATACGGAGCATGTCGTAATTGATTTCACTAAAGATGGTTTATATTTGTATAGCTAATGACCGAAGAATTTCAATATGTTGATGTGTTAAGATGGTAAGCCATAAACATCTCCTCGTAGAAAACCCGAGTTCGACTCTTACCTGTGGTGGTTTTTTTATTTGATTCAGAAGAGCTAATATACACTTTAACTATTGGGCCCTGTGCGACCGCACTGCCTGCACAGCACCAGGGCCGGCCCTGCTGCAACCCCGATAGCCACTGTGACCCCTGTTGACAGCTTGCCTCTTCCGCATGCCATCCAATTTTTAAAACATTGCCATGCTCATGTCGATTTACCCATATGCCCATACTCGCCTATTGCGATTTAAATCAAGTGCCGCATCCACATTTATTTTAACAGGCTTTTTCTAGCCTAATCTTTGTCTTGCTACCCTCCAGTTGCCTCCTACCGCCACTTGAGCTGCCTTCCAACCGCGTATAACCGACAAGGCGACAAGCCTATCACATTGTCGCCACTCACCATCTTAATTCTTCCAACTCTTATCATTGTGTCACTTCCATAAGCTCCTCTGATTGACAATAAAAGTACATAGATCATCACACTACAAATCATAAAAAAAACAATTAGTAAAGTCATCTGCTTGTCGGACAAAGTGGGCGTCCAATTTTTGCCACACTGTATCTGCCACCTTGTAATGCCGGAAAAGATGCTCTTAAGTCTCATCCGCCTCGTCAGAGAGCCTACAGATACTATCAATCTCCATCCTTCGTCGGCGGAGATTATTGATCGGGCTAAACTTGCAAGTATACAAGTGCCGATATAGTAATAAAATACCGGTAAATACCGGGTCGATCCACAGGGAAATGGTTGATATTATAAAGTTGAGTATTGAATGCAAAAGAATATAAATGGTATAATTTTTCAGGAACTTTGTTCTTTGAGGTTGATTTAAATAAGAATGAGAATTACTAAGGCAATCGGGATTCACCTAAATGCTTTAATAGTTATTTAATAATAGTTCTTTCCCAATAATTATGAATACGATGTCGCTAATATATTCTCAACTCCGGTTAAGGCAGCGAGAACATGGTTTTCGTTACGTGTAATTCCCGTTATGGCTTAAATTCATCTACCGAAAACCCCGTTGAATATCAAGACATCACACCCGTATCATTAGGGCTGAGCAAAACCCGATCCGACCTGAAAAACCCGATATTTTTTCCGGATATTATCCGAACCGAAGTGGATATCCGACCCGAAAAACCCGAAACCCGAAAATCCGATTGGTATTGGCCTAGACCGGGTGGCGGGTAGGGTTTGTGAAATCCCAACCCGACCCGCCCGAATATCCGAAATATAGGTTACTGGTTAGTGTGTACTTTGAATATTTAAATTAATACTTGTGTTCAATTATTTGTGTAATTATTTGTGAAATTTGTATTAAATTATTTGTGTAAATTGAATATGTAGTGTACTAATGTGTACAATTTTTGTCAAAGTGGCATTCGAACACTTTAATTATCCAATTATAATGTGTTTTAATATAACCGAAATATACTAAATTATGTAGTGTGTACTTTGAATATGTTAAATTAGTACTTGTGTTCAATTATTTGTGTAATTATTTGTGCAATTTTTGTCAAATTATTTGTGTAATTCAGAAGTTTAGTGCACTAGTGTGTACAATTTTTGTCAAATGGCATTTAAACACTTTAATTATCCAATTATAATTTTTTTAATATAACTGAAATATCCGAAACCCGACCCGATATCCGATAATATCCGACTTAAAAATATCCGAAATACCCGATTTGAAATATCAAAGGGTCGGACCTAGTATTTAAATTAAAAAACCCGAACGGGTATAGGGTTCGCAAACCCGACCCGCCCGAACCCGACCCGTGCACAACTCTACGTATCATATAAGACCGGATATATTTCTATTCTCGGTACTATATATGTTTATCCTTTAATGTTCATAGTTTAGACCTCAACGTTAATTGCAAGCATAAACTAAATTTAACATACTTCTATGTTGTACACCATAGTCATAAACAATCAAAATATAAAGGACAAATCACAATTTATTGGTTTAGAACTTTTATCAAACACCTAATGTGCATAGAGGTTCATCTCTAGTCTTAGCTAAGAAATTAACCTCTAATGCTCATATTAATCACAATACAATATTGAAATGTAATAGAACATGAAATTACAAAGGAAATAATACCTAAACACCAATGATTTCGGAGGTTGAAGTTTCCTCCTCAAGAACTTGAAGAACAATAGCAAAAACAAAGTATGAAAACTAGGAATGAAAGTATGGAATGGGATGATATTGCTTGATGAATTAAGGGCTTTATATAGGCTAAAGAATGACATCTTTTAGTCTATTCAAGCCTAACAATCGGGTATGGAAGCAATATTTGAGAAGATATGGAGGAAGATGAGGTTTCCCTATCAAAAATCTTCTGCACGTTGGCCTATTTTAGCAGAAAATTGGAATGACCGGCACCGATGTAGCATGTTTGGTGCCGGTTAGGTGCCGTATTTCATGTTTCCGCTCACTCGGGGATATTTACCTGTTTTCGCTTCACATTTTTGTACAGATAAATATAATTACTTATGTAAAACATAAGTAATTATTGTGCTTATCAAATTCCCCCACACTCGAGCAATGTTGTCACCTTTGGATGCCTTGGTTAGTTCAACAAAAATATATGTACAAAAATAAATTTATCTTTAAGAGAGGTAAAAAAATGTATGTAAACTCTTTTTTCGTTCTCGGTCCAAAACCCGTCTTTCTACTAGACACACAAAAAATATCATTAGATTTAGAAAAATTACTTGTACTCTTGAGAATTGATAAGTAAATCGTGACTGGGGTTATTTGGGAGTGTAGAATGGCTTTTGGGTGTATTGACTTTTCAGTATAGAGATGAATCAGTTGTAATATCTTGAAGAGATTATGAGTTCCGCACTTTTTTTCTTTTGTTTTTTTGGATACTCATTTGAATTGGTTCTCAACAACTATTTATTGAAAGTCATTTTGAACATCCCAATTTATTTGATGAGATATGGGGGTGGCTTCCAAAATGGTTTTTTTTTGAATATTTGAGATGTACTTAAACCATTTTGGAAATGAAAGAAGATGGTCTTTCTTAGTCACAAGGTTTATTTTGGGGATGGTTTTCAAGAGTAAAAGGTAGTGTCATAAATCTAAAAAATGATATTTTTATGTGAATAATGAAAAAAATTTTCTCAACCAAATACCCATTAAAAAGAGAATTAACACAATTTTTACCTTCCTAAAAAAATATTTTGCACACGAAATTTGTTTAGCTACCCTTGAGATGCACCCCCCCCACACTTAAGATACATTGTCCCAATGTATAAAGCATAGAAACATAAAAACTTCAATTAACATCCACAAAACGTGTGTTTAGAGAAGATTATGCCATGAAATAACAAGAATGGGAACTTAATTTTGTGGGTCGGGAGGGGGGTGTCCAAATTGACCGTAGTAGTGTTGGGTGAATTGCCCAAACCTTTGGTCAATGCGGTCCAAATGCTCTTCGATCCTTGTTTGACGGGTGCGGAGGTCCGCTTGGTTAGTCTCATACACGTTGATCCGCGCATGCATACGGTCCATGGAGTCACAAATATAGTCAATCCCCTGTGCCATAGTCCGTCGTGGCCGGGCTGCGGCTTGTGCGACAGCCTCTCCCATCTCTTCGTCACCATTCTCTTCTTTGCGAACCCATGCACCATTCACCTTTTTGAAGTGGAGGGACATCATAGTGCTTGGCCTCAAAATTTGGGCTTCGGTGGTGTACTCCACCTCTTCGTTTGTAAGGTCGGCGCCAAAACTCCTGAAAATCATTGTGAGTAAAAGAGGATAAATAAAATTCTTATCACCTCTTTTGGTCTTGACGACACACCTCATTTCTGTCATGATGAGAGGAGCCAAAGGAATGCCCTCGATTTCTCCAAGTCCGTTTATCATCTTGTACATAAGATATAGGTCCACCCGCCGAAGCACATGCGTGTCACTAGATCGTGGCAAGATGTTGAAACTCAAAAGGTATGCAATTAGTCTCTCTCGGGGTTCAAGAACACGGGCCTTAAGATCTTCGTCGAAGCCATAGTCGTCCATGACATCTATCTCCTTGTAAGCGGGGTCGGTGAGCACCACTACAGATTTCATTTCAACCGGAAGACCGCCGTTGGGGATACGAAGCAAGTTGCACAATCGTTGTTTGCTAATAGTGATTTTTGTGCCTTTAACCGTGCTCACAATATCCCTGAACGGGTCCATTTTTGTCTTGATGTTGGCATAGAACTCCCGTACAAGCGTCGGGTATAATGCCCCAGTCAGAGTGAGCATGACGGCCCATCCCAATTTGTCAAAAGCATCGGAGAGTCGATAATGGGCTTCGATCTCAGGATGCACAGTCTTTTCAATCACAATTTTCCACTTCTTCCTTTGGTTGTACCAAGCTTCATTCTCTGGAGAGGTGAAACGTGGTACGGATGAAGAGGAAGAAGTAGCAACATTTCGTCATTTAGGAGCCATTGACCCTGCACAATTAGTTCAACACATACACGCAACACCATATTTTGCATCAACTCAAGGTAAAATTTTAAAAATTTCTTCAATTTCCCCAAACTTGATGTTCATTCAAGAATTCTTGCAACAATCATGTTTAGAAGACTATATATAAACAATAAGTCATATCAATATATCTCTAAACATCAATTACAAAAAGGAATTCACCAATGAGCAAGAAATTCAAAATTAGGGTTCTTGAGAAAAAATTTCAAGAATTTCCCCTAATTTTGCACTTTAATCTCACAAGTTTGAGCAAGAATCATGTTTATATATATCAAATGAGCTCAAGGAACAAACATTTAACATTTATTAACATATATTTTGCCAAAATTTGTAAAAGAGAAAAGATTTGAAGAATTAGGGAAATTTGAGTTTAGAGCCAAAATACCTTGAATTGATGCTCAAAGAGTGATGAAGAAGCTTTTAGAGGTGATGCTTGATGCAAAAAACAAGACTTTTGGGGCCGATTTTAGCTTGGGACGGCGGTTTTGGGCGGTTTGGGGTGGTGGCCGGCGTTTAGCTATCGATTATGGGGGGGGGGGGGAGATTTTCGACTGATCTGTTTTTTTCATGACCTGGGGCTGTTTTAAAATCAGGGGAACCGACGCTGGATATGTGATGACCGGTGCCAGTTAGGGCGTTTTTGGTGCCTCCGGACCTTTCTGTTTTGGACCGGGGCCGGTTGTCTCTGACCAGGGCCGGTCGGTCCGTGATTTTTTTTGATCAATCATAAATAAATATGAATGTGTTTATGAGAGTAAACATATTTACTTATAAGTGATTTTTTTGCTCATTTATAAATAAAAATGAATCTAACTAAACATATTAATTTATAATTGATTTTTTTTGTTGGGTTGCCTCCCAATTAGCGCTCAGTTTAACGTCGTAGGCCGGACGCAACGTGCCTCTATTCTTCTAATTGGCATGCGGTGGTTGCCGAAGTGATATGGTACTCCATGTATGGCTTGAGCCGGTGACCATTTACAAGAAATGGCGTTTGGTCACCGTCTTGAATCATCATTGATCCGTATGGTCGGACCTCGGTGATTGTATATGGTCCTGACCATCGGGATTTGAGTTTTCCAGGGAATAATTAGAGCCTTGTGTTGAAGAGTAATACCTTTTGTCCGACGTAGAACCCCCTCCGGTTAATGTTTTTGTCGTGCCAAATTTTTGCCTTTTCTTTGTAGATACAGGAGTTCTCGTACGCATCCCGTCGGAGCTCTTCTAGCTCATTGATTTGGAGCATTCTCTTTTCTCTTCCAAGTGTGGTATCAATGTTCAGTTGAGAGATTGCCCAATGAGATTTGTGCTCAAGTTCCACAGGAAGGTGGCATGGTTTGCCATAAACGAGCCGGAAAGGGGACATACCGAGTGGAGTTTTGAAGGCTGTTCGGTATGCCCATAAGGCATCATCTAGCTTTAGAGACCAATCTTTCATTGGCGAGTTGACCGTCTTCTCAAGAATGGATTTTATTTCGCGGTTGGACACCTCCACTTGACCATTAGTTTGAGCTAGGATGGTAAGTGGCACCGGTTTTGAACATGCACCCATATTTTTATAGGACGCCGGCAAAATGAGTATTCTTGAAATGAGTACCATTATCACTAATGATACTCCTAGGAACCCCAAATCTTGAAAAGATGTTCCTTTTTACAAACTCTACTACCGATTTGGCCGTGTTATCCGGTAGAACAATGGCCTCCACCCACTTGGAAACATAATCAACCGCAACAAGGATGTATTCCTTTCCATGAGATTTAGGGAAAGGACCCATGAAGTCTATTCCTCATACATCAAATATTTCAACCACAAGAATCATGTTTTGTGGCATCTCATTCCTTAGGCTCAAATTCCCGGTGTGTTGACAACGATCACAAGCTAGGACAAAACTCCTTGCATCTTTGAAGAGTGTTGGCCAGAAAAATCCACATTAGAGGATTTTAGCCGCGGTCCGGTCCGGTCCGTGATGTCCTCCATAAGGAAGATTATGACAATGATCAAGGATAGATAGCACTCTTCATTTGGAACACACCATTGTATAATTCCATCGGCACAATGCTTGAAAAGATATGGTTCATCCCAATAGTAATGTTTGACATCATGTAGAAATTTCTTCCTTTGATGGAAAGTGAGCTCTTGGGGAATAATTTCTTTGACCAGATAGTTCACAAAATCTTTGAACCAAGGTAAGGGAACTTCCTTCACCTCCATGAGTTGCTCTTAAGGAAATTCATCATGAATTACCTCCATATTCGTAGTGGCATTTGGCTCAAGGCGAGAAAGGTGATCCGCTACAAGATTTTCGCTTTGTTTCTTGTCCCGAATCTCAAGGTCAAACTCTTGGAGTAATAGCACCCACCGGATTAGTCGTGGCTTAGCATCATTTTTATTCATGAGGTACCGGATGACGGAGTGATCGGTGCAAACAATCACTTTTTGGCCAATGAGATAAGACCGGAATTTGTCAAAAGCATAGATGACGGCTAGGAACTCCTTCTGCGTTGTTGCGAAGTTGAGTTCCGCCTCATGAAGTAACCTCGATGCATAGTATATGGCATGAAGATTTTTATCTTTCCTTTGACCGAGCACAACTCCAATGGCGTGGTCACTAGCATCGCACATCAATTGAACGGTACAGACCAATCCGGTGAAATGATTATTGGAGTCGAAGTAAGAGCCTTTTTGAGGGTGTTGAAGGCTAATAAGCAAGATTGAGAGAAATCTAAAGTAGCATCCTTGGCAAGTAAATCGCAAAGTCGTTTTGCGATTTTTGAAAAAACTTTGATGAATCGCCGGTAAAAACCGGCATGCCCCAAAAAACTTCTTATGGCTTTTACCGAATGAGGAGGTGGTAATTTTTCAATAACCTCCACCTTAGCTTGATCAACTTCAATACGTGATATGCAAATATCGCTCAGCCTTTGACAGAAATATATTATTCCAGCTACGCACCCGATTAATAATCTGCTCCTTTAAATAAATTAAAATTTCCTTCTTATTCCTCCCGATCAACGAAGGTAACCTCAGATAAGCAGAATTATTACCTTTTGTTCTCATGCCCAGACAATCATTGATAGCCTTCACGCGCTCCTCATTTAGATTCAGACTAAACATAATAGTGGATTTTTTATAATTCATAATTTTTCCCGAGCAGCTCTCATAAATATGTAGAATATTCTGGATAGCCTCACGGTCTCCTTCTTTGGCTCTAAAAAATAGAAAACTATCGCTAACAAAAAATAAATGTGGTACCCTTGGGGCCCCTCTCGCCACATCGATACCCAAAATGTTTCCCATGCTTTCCTGTGTCCTGATCAACACACTAAATCCTTCTACTACCAAAATAAATAAAGGCCCCTGTCTAATTCCCCTGCTAGGTGTTACTGGTCCAATCACCTCATCGTCAAAAGGAAAAAAATATTCCACAAAAGAAATACATTGCACAATCATCCCAATCCATTTCTTAACAAACCCCATAGTCCTCATCAATTCCTCCACATATCCTCAATTTACACAATCATAAACCTTGCTCATATCAAGTTTTAGGGCAACATATCCGCCCTTCCACTAAGTCTTCCGTTTTAAATAGTGTAAAGACTCAAAAGCAATCATAAATGATCAACAATAGACCTACCCGGAACAAAAGCACTTTGATTTTGTAGCTACCAAATCATTAGGAATACCCTTCAACCTATTTGTCGGAACATTACTAAATATTTTAAAAATCACATTACACAGAGCTATTGGCCTCCAATCCCCCATACATCCAGGTTTATTTTTATTTTGAACAAGAACCAGGTTAGTTTTATTTACCTCTCTGGGAATTTGTCCCACCGCCATGGTGCTCTTGCAAAATTTGACCACATCTTCCTCCACTCTCTCCCAATAATGCTGAAAAAGCCGGGTTTAATCCATATGGTCCCGATGCCTTGTCCGTATGCATATCAAACACAGCTTTCCTAACAATAACCGTAATTGGTTTCAAAAGGACCTGATTCTGCCCAGGGTTCACCCTTGCTAGTCTTGTCATCATACTCTCCTCTATCTGAGAATTATTCGAGGTAAAAAAAACTCATGCTACTGAACAAAGCTCAGTTAATGAGCTTTCTTTGTATATAACATATCCTGTTGATTATAAAGAAAATGAAGACTTTGACGTTCTACAGTGGTGGAAGGAAAAAGAAAGAATGTTCTCGATTTTAGCGCGGATGGCTAAGCAAGTGCTACCAATGCCGGTTTCAACAGTCGTCGTGGAACAAGAATTTAGTTCGGCCGGCAACGTCCTAACGGAATCTAGAACGAGATTGAGCGCAAACTCTCTTGAGACGCTTGTATGCTACCATGATTGGTTGAAGGCCGGACGTACAACTCAAGAACTTAGCATCATCCCCTCCAAACACTTTATGGATGAATCAACAACCGATGGTGGCTCTACCTATGGCGGAGATTCCGATTGATTAGTATTTTACAATTTATTATAAAATGTATTTCATGTTTGAATTTTTTTCCTCAATTCTCAATTGTAAACTTGTAGTTCATATTTCAAATAAATATACGTTCATTTTTTATATGTAACACTTCTCAAATTAATTAATTGTTTAGAACTTACAATTAATGTATTTCGTATTGTAATTTTTTTTCTCGATTCTCAAATGTAGTTCCTATTTCAGTGGGTTGCACTTGAACTTTGTTTTTCATATGAAGCACTTCTGTAAATTAGTAGGAAAAAGAACCTGACCCGGCCCGGCAGATGGCCCGACCCGTGACCCGGGCGGGTGGTCCGGCCCAAACTGGCACCGGTCACAAGATGGGCCGGTCTCGGGATTCGTCCCAGAAGTTGGAGGCCCGGCCGGGCCTCAGGGGCGGATGCAAGTGTATGACAGGGGCGGATGCAAGTGTATGACAATGGGGGCACATGCCCCCAATAAAAATTAACTAACAAGCTAAATATACATACTAAAAACATTTTGTTTGTAGTAAAGTTGGATTTTGCCCCCATTAAATATTTTATGTTGCCCCCAATAATAAAGTTTTTTATACAAGATAGATCAGGTTGATATTTACGTATAGTTCTACTTATTTATTTGAACTATAATGGTTAAATGAACTAAATATAAATTATGAGGAAGTAAATTGATATATATCATGAATTACTCAATTAGACGTGATTTTAATTATGAGTAAAATGTCAACAATTCATCAAATAAAATTTGACTCTATCAACAATTTAGTCAGTGTTCAAAATCGTATAAAATATGATAGCAAACAATAAAAATGGGTTCGAATTTTATAACTAATTTCCTTGAATATGGCTGGCTATTTAGGATGTTTTCTTTTGGACTGAAATTTGTTAGTTTGGTCTGGTCTGATCTGGTCTGGTCTGGTCTGAACTGGTCCAGTCCGATAAACGTCTGGTCTCTGTGTATTTTATAACTGTCCAAGTCTGGTCCGGTCTGGTTTGTTTAAGTCTGGTCTAGTCTGGTTTGGTCTGTTTAAGTCTGGTCTGGTCTGACCAAAAGAAAACATCCTTAGTCTAGTGTTTTTATACTCCATGAGCCATTAATTGTGATCAGTCATAAAAATTATGGTGCGAGCATATTATCAACTAATTTTGTTTTACAAAATTATATTATCTAAGTTTAATTAAACAAGTCAATATTAATCTCATTAAATCTAGACCCGTTTGGCCGTTTGATAACATCGAAAGTAGCCGAATCGACTGATTCTACTGAAACTAATGATGTTCGAATAGAAGTAGCTGAATTGACTAAATCTGTTGAATTATGAAAAAATTATATTAATAATATAGTTTACAAATAAAATAAAGAAAAAATTATATGAAAAGTGACTAAATGGTCTTCTATAATAACTTTAGCCGATATAAACGAAAAAATAACTCCAACCTTACTTATTTGGATTATTATACAATTCAACGTACAAAATAAAAAATTACGTATTTGACGAAATAAAACATTTTATCGAAACATGATATAATAAAACATTATTAATACTTAATAGAGTTCAGATTAGATCAACTATAGTTTTATCGTAAAATTAACTTCTTTGAAATTGTGCGCCCAATACATATTATTTCTGGATCCGCCACTGCCGGGCCTAGGCCCGACCCGGGCCCGATCCATGCCTACGTATGAAAGGGTGTCTAAACACTCGGCAAGCACGGCTGGTATTCTAAAGGCAACTGCCCAACATATGAAAAAAAAGTATATTTAGGTTAAAGTTTCGCTTAATTTCGAGTAAAAGCGGGACAAGAAAGCTCAAAAATAGATTTATGTAAAACCATGCAAACTCATTCGAGCCTTTCCTCTCAAGTCTCAAGTCTCAATTACAGAAACCAAGATAATTAAATTGACTCAATCAATTTTTCTCACCAATTTTGCTCAACTATTGAAACCCAGACCTGTGAACTGCTCTGGCCATTTTTCGAGCAATTAGGATTTTCCTCAATTTCACACACGCCAAAATTTCAATAAACACTTGAAAAAACCAATTTCATTTGTGAATATAGAACCTAAAATAAAAACAGAGCAAGGAAAAAAGAACACGTCAATACGTTAGAAGTTTGCACTCAAGTATTTACCGAGCAAGATGTTCAGAGCTCACTTACTAAATACTAATCTACCTAGTCAAGAGAAGTCAATCAACAAACTTAGCAAAAGAGCGTGTTGCAATCCAGAGGGTTAGGAAAAAAGTAGAAGCCTTAATGAGATTAAACTAAAAAGAGTCCCAAGTTGCAATCATAGCTTTACAAAGAAAACTAAAACTGATTTTAGTTAACCAGTCAAATGTCGCTTTTTGTGAGAAGCGTAGAAAAGCTCCCTTTTGGCGCTGCATCCCTTTTGCGCTTAAGCTCCAAGTAAAAAAGCGACAGAAAAAGCGGCACTTTCTAACCCGGCCAGTTGCTTTGTGAAAGCTATGCGCAAATCTGCAGCTCACTTGAGCTTTGGCGCTTAAGCTTGGTCAGTGTTGCTTTTAACAAGTCTGATGATGTGAGAATTTCGTGCATTAAATCTAACAAGCACAAATAAGCAAATTTAAGTCAAAAGTTGATCAACACTTGTAACAACTGACAACTTACTATGGGTAGACTATACCTATTGTATTTGAATACTAGCTTACAAAGTTAAGACACAGGATAAATGGAATTGCCAATAGAAGAAGTAGAAGCTAGAATAGAATATTCCATGTAACCAATAACATTTGATCTTTAGCATATCATTTACTACTTCTCAATCTCCATAGCTTGTGCAACTTTGGCTTTTGCCAATGCTGTCAATTTTGTCTTCAATTTCTTCTTCGCCACTAGAAATTTACCACCACCCTTCTTCTTGGGCTTCCCATCCACCTAATATCAGAACCACCATCCAAATTAAGCACTTAATAGTTTAGCATCACAAGACCATGGAAATTTAAAATAACTTTCAATGTGAATCCATGTGAAGCTATAAAATTCTTTTTGGACAAAAGAACATGTGAAACATCAGGATTTTGCTCCTAATGGAGAATCAAATCCAATTAACACCACCGGCTATCCTAGAAAAACCATTAAAAATCGCATACATATTGCTTCAATAAAAACATTGCATTGAGCATGATTGATAATAGCTACACAAGGCTCCAAAAATCAGCAAAGATAGCAAGCTGGGTCTCAATTGTAAGAGAAACTAATAAGTAATTAAACGGCAAATTAAAGTATAAAAATCGATTATGATGATACGAAGAAAAGGAAATTTACTTTCATCTTGTTCTTCTTAGCTTCTAGCCTCTTCTCCTTCTTTTCCTTCTCTTGTTTTTCTCCTGATTTTTCATTAAATAGAAAAATACACCGTCAAATCAGGAAAAAATAAGGACTACGAAAGAAAAATTTAAGGCACTGTACAACTTCGTAGATCGAACTCGTGCTGCTTTCTGCGGGTAGAAAGATTATTCTTCTTCGACATTGTCCAGGGCCGGATCCAGAAAGTTACAATGGGGTGGGCTGAGGAAAAATATTTGAAAGACACATACATAATAAATTAATAATATGTCAAGTCATCAACACTTTAAATATTGATCAAAACATCACTTAAGTTGTGCCCTACGCGACTTCGAAGTATAAAATTCATCAATAATAGAATCTACATCTATGTTGTTGACAAAAACTCTTTTAAGAGAATCCATTCTAAAAACATTTTCAATACTGATATGAATTAAAATACTTCTATAAAAATATAAAATTATGAAGTAATAAGAAAAAAGAATAGTTGTGCATAAAACTGATAAGTATTCCCAATTTCAAAATTCAATTGAAAGTTTCAATTTTTTTCTTACATGCCCATACAATAAATATATAAATCATTCTCTTCAATTGTATAATCAATAAATCATTCTATAAGATTTAATTCCATCTTTAATCATTATAAATCTGTAATGAATTTTGCCCTATTTTCTTAGGGAGTGTTTGCAACAGCTTCTGCTTTAAAAAAAGCACTTTTGGAGTGATTTGAAAAAAGTGATTATTTGTAAAAGTTGATAGTGTTTGAGAAAAAAGTGATTTTGAAAAGTAAAAGTTGGTAGTGTTTGGTAAAATAAGTGCTTTTGGTGTATAAAAAGTGGAAAAGCACTTTTGACACGAAAGCCGAGAAAAATAAAAAATTGGTAGTGTTTGGTAAATAAGTGCTTTTTTAAGCCAAAAGCTGAGAAGTGCTTTTTTTAAAGTGGTTGCAAACCAGCCTTTATGCACTGAAAAATTCAACTAATAATTAAATTGATTAACCAAGGGACTAACCCTAACACTCTATAGGCTAAAAATAATAATACAAGTTAACAGTCTTAACACAATCACAAAATTATACAGTAAGAATTTGTTTTTTTTTTTAAAAACTCACCGGCGCCAGAGCTGGAGGAAGAGCCAAGAGGCGAGAGAGGAAGGACGCCGGAGTCTGGAAAGCCGACGACGTAGCGTCCTGGTCGCCTGGACGCGCGGCGTGGACGGCGGAGGGTCGCAGGTCACAAGTTGGAGCGCCGGTCGTGCCAAAGCTCTTGGTTCTTCGATTTTCTTTCTTCCGTTCTTCGCGTTCGGCCAGTTGGAGCGCAGGTAAGTTCTAAAGTGTGTTGGGCTGAGCTGTGGGCCGGGAATTAATTTTGGTGTGGGCCGATAACAAAACCCGTACCCATACTAATAAAAATTACTCCCTCCGTTCCCAAAAATACTTCTCACTCTCATTTTTGGACCGTTCCCAAAAATTCTTCCCACTTTCCCTTTTTGGACAATTTGTGTGGCTCACATTCATTTTATCTTTTTTCTCACACAACCACAACCATACATTTTCACTTTATTCCACTTTCTTAATAGGCGTGCCAAGTCAAACCGGGAAGAATTTTTAGGAACGGAGGTAGTAAAAAATATGACCTGGGCTGGAGCCCACCCCTGCTCTCACAGCCATTTGCCACTGACATTGTCTATCCCCAAACCAGAATCACGTTTCTTCGGTTCCCAAGCCACTCCAGTTCGCTCCTTAAAATTTCTCTTTGCAGTAAGCCCGAACCCAGCTCGAATTTTATTGGGCTCCTCATTTATATTTGGGTAATTTTAAATGCAGCCCACTCTTTACTAAATACAACCCCTAATTAAATTAAATGTCTATTATATCCCTATTATTGCTCCCACTACTCTTCTAAATACAGCCTGCTGCAGACACTTAAACGCACATGCCTCGAATCTCTCCTGCTTTTCCAAAATACGGAGAAACTTTGTTTGAAACGATGGTGGACGTCATGGCGTTTGGAGTGTCTTCTCCACGTCATGGCGTGACCCTTGTTGGCATTTTACCCCAAAGTTAACTCAAGTGTATCATGAAATTCTTTCAAAAGGATACTTCGAAATCATATTTGTTTCTGTCGAGGCGGAGTATTTTGAAGGATGATGTTCTGGAATGCCTTGGATTGCACTCTTATTCTCTTATTTTGAGGATGGTTTATTCTCTGTTTGGGAAATACTCACAACCTTGTGATCCTAAATGAAAGTGGAGAGTTACTAACAAAAGATGGTGTTGATGCTATACTTGAACATGGAGTGGAAGTTTACGAATTACGAGAGAGAAGGTTACATAAAAAATGATTTGTTGCAGATGATTTTGGGATCCACGTAAGGAATTGCTGCAAACTGCAAAACAGTAGCAGTAGAAAAGAAAAGGTTAAATGTGTAAAGTTAATCATTTTCGTTTAAAAGCATTGGTTGTGTTTAGTAAAATATGGACTACATTTAGAATTACCCTTTATATTTTACTCCGTATTTCATTTCAGATGAATAACATTTCACTTTTTCTTTGGGCCCAATACTTAAAAAACTCTTCAATATTGCTAAAAGAGAAGTCGAAGATAAAAAATGGTGTATGTTTTTTTTTTAGTAAAAACTAGTTAGGGAAAATCGCACTTTTGATCCCTCAATTAGGCACCATATTGAAATGTAAGACTCGTGTTTCTGAAATTATAAATGTCACTCCCGAATTGACTGATGTGTTGTAAATGTCATCCTCGATGATTTTTTTACAGTCCAGAACTGGAGATGGATTATAAACAAAGAGAATGACATTTACACACGAGTCTGTTCGGACCAGGGGTTTCATTTACAATCTCAAAAACACGAGTCTGACATTTCAATATGGTGACTAATTGAGGGATCAAATGTGCGATATCATGAACTAGTTAATTACGGAGTATTGTTGATAAAGTCTTTTTTTTACTCCAAGGGAGGTCTGGGGGAGGGGGTCTGGGTGGACCTGGAGTAATTAGGGTTGAAACTCACTCCATTGAGTTTCAAACCCTTATGTGCCTAGCAGGTTTCGAACTCGAGACCTCTCACTAGGCACGGTAACCTCACAAGTCACAACCAGCTGTGCTGGAATGCTTGGTTAATGGGGAATACCATTAACAAGGATAGAAAGCTAAGTACTCTGTAAGAAATCAATGATTATTGAAATATAATGGTTGTTAAAACCAATTTATTCCAAATCTCCTTCATAAAAGACCAAGAAATTCTGATCTGTCGAAAACATTTGCCATATCAAGCTTAATCATCACATTTCCCCCTCTCACTTTTTCATCTAAAGAATGGACCATTTCTTGTGCAATGAGGATATGGTCAGATATCTCCCTGCTCTTCTAAACGAAGAAAAATTGTTTCTGCAACTTTAATAGAAAATATGCACTAGTTAGCACATACTTCGTATATAGAAATGAAAAGATGGTGTCTCTTTATGTATTGTTGATAAAGTCATGGTTAAGATTCCATTTAAAAAAATCAAAAGTTCTGATTGATGTTGACACATCACACATGTATCCTTTGTGTTTCACTACATTTTTATATGTGACTAAAACATTCATTACTTCCTAATGTATGATTATCAAACTTAAACATACATTTATATGAAGGGAGTAAAAGTCTAGGGCGGATTCAGAAAAAATCATTTATTGGGGGCACTTTTATGCACATTGATATACATATGACTATATGAGAAAGCATACTATTATTTTTGTATAATAATATTTTAATTTTGGTAAGGTACTTAAATCCACACTTATACGCTAAAAGTTATGTATTGCATAACCAAACCCATTTTAGAATAAAATATTACGTAGTAAAACGTGTCGATTGATTTTACCGCTGATTCATGTCTGTCTATATTTTCCTTTGTATGCTTTTTAAGCAAATAAAACGGGCAGTCAAAATTTATTTAGAAAAAAATCATTTAAAAGAGAGACAAAAAATGTCATACGGAGAGAAACGGTTCTTAAAAAATAAAGAGTGTGGGAAAAATTAGATATAGGTGGAAAAAAAAGTGTGGATAAAATTGAATAAGGAGTATCAAAACACTTAAACTTGTCTTTAATTTCAAGCTCAAACTAGTTTTGTACCCGGGCGTTGCCCCGGGACAATTTGCGTATAGTATATATTTTTAGTTTTCATATTGTATGTTTATAATATTTTACTGTATAAAGTTACTAATTCCTATTCGTACGTAAAGCACCAGGATGTGTATTTATGATAATAATAATAATACAGAGTAATAAAGATCATACATTTTGTAACATCGTGATATGTCTAAGAGCCCGTTTGGTGACCTCCTTTTTCGGCTCCTTTTTCGGCTTATTAGGCTTATCAGCCAATTTTTTCACCAAACACGTAATTTTTCATTTCGCGCACCGAATTTTGTAATAAGCAGAAAAAGTAAGGTTGGTGTTATTTTTCTGGCTGTATTGGCTGAAGTTACTGTAGATGACCATTTTAGCTATTTTTACATATATTTCCTCCGTTCTTTTTTATTAGTCCTTCTTTCCTTTTTGGGACGTTTTTTTTCCTCCATTCCATTTAAGGAAAGTTTTTGAGAAAATACTCTCACTTTTATTACTTTTACCCCACTTACTTTTTACAAACTACTTTCTCATTCCTACTTTACCATCACTTTACTCTTCTTAATAGTTAATACACTCTCTTTCTTACTTTATCATTACTTTACTCTTTTTAATATTTTTTCTTTCCTACTTTATCATTACCCTACGCACTCTATACTTACCCTACTACATTATTATTAAAACCCGTGCCAAACCCTAAGAGGACTAATAAAAAAGAACGGAGGAAGTACTTTTTTCTTTATTTTATTAATAGAATATATTTTAAAAATAATTTTTTCTTAAATCAGCAGAATCAACCAATGCAGCCATGTTGATCCCTATTTCTAACAATCATACAACCACTAGAATGAAGAAGAAGCAAATAGATTGAACGGAAATTTGGTACATCGTATAATGGCCGCTGCTCTCCCTCTAGAGAGAGAGAGCAGCTGGAAACTATTCTCTCTATTCAGCCTCTATACTCTAATGCCTTAGCTCGGTTTTCTCATAAGTTAGCCTCCTTTTATAGGAGAGGATGGCTAACTTATGGCTTACAAGAGAGGCTAATGGGCTAATATTCAATTGTGGCCCATATTACACATTTAACTAACAACTACACAAATACAAATACATCTAACTAGATTGGACACCAGAAAAAGTCCTAACAAATCTCCCTAAAGATAATAGATCAACTCATCTAGAAGGGAAAGCTTTTAAAGTTGAAAAAGCTTTAAAAGTCTATTCACCCCCCCCAGACTTTTACCTCTATCCGGGACCATCATATATGTTGTCACAACAACTCTCCCATCATTCTTTTCAATGATGTCCATCATGGCCTTCTTTTCAATCTCATATATCTTGAAGCAGTCCTTCTTAATAGTATTCCTGCTTACCATTTTAAAGCAAAGGTTTAAGCTGTTCACAAAATTCCTGAACCCAATATGCTCCACCATCTTTAGAGGGTAGGCGTGTAGAATGATCATCCTCGCAAGCTCCATACGAGAAAGTTCTTGATCAAAACTGGACGGTGAAAGTTCAAACTTGTTCTTGTTGCTTACTTGCAAAAGTTGTTGTCTTATATCTTTGGTCTTCCGTTTGCACCTTTGGTAATGTTTACGCAAGTGACTGGTACCTTGCTTGGGATCACCCAACAAGAGTGACCGGCAATACTTGCACCTTGCTTTGAGCTTTTCACCGATAGTGTCTCTCTCTCATAGTGTTGCCAAATCTTTGATTTTAGACTCTTTAGTTTTGCTGCATCAGTTACATCAGTGTCTACTGTCTCTTCAGCCTCAACATTAACCTCTACAGGTACGTCATCAACAGGTAAATCACCTCCATCAACAAGCGGACTAGGTGATGAATTGGGTGTCTCGTCTAGTGACACATCTGTTATTGGGGTGGTAGGTATTGAGCTTCCTTCAGCCTCCATTGATTAAAGATCTACAAAAGCAATTTAATCTAAATCATGTTAAAGTTTTACAAAACAGATCTATTATTATGCAATTATTTTAATGAAT